CACACACACACACAGAAGTTCACACTAGATATCTCAACAAAATTGTGTTGAATAGATGTTTGCTAAGCAATCATATTGCATTTGAACACTGCTAGTGAGGATCGTTTAAACTGAACCTCCTCAAAATTCACATACAAAGCGAGAAGGTTCAGATGGTCCAACAGCCTTTCATTGGCACAATGTTAGAGACGATCTTTTGATGACAGCAGTAGCCATTGTGTTGTAAGCTGTCACCAGGACAAGCACTTTTCCACCCAGATGAGCAGATCCAAAATTGCAACAGCTTTACCTCTATAGCAAACAACATGTAGCAAACTATGATGAGCGGATCCAAAATTGAAACAACTTTGCCTTTATATCAAACAACATGAACCACAATCAAGCCGTTATATTGCCTTTTCCTTGTACAGTCCTCTTCATTTTCCTTACTTTAGCTTTCCTTGGGGTACCAATTCTATTTCCTTTTGCAGGCCCCCTTTTACTGTGCCTCTCCGAACAAGGCTTGCCACGTTGATTGTGGTTGAGCGCAGAGTAAAGAAGAAGGTATACTAATGTTCCTTTGGAGGAAATTGGAGCAGATTTTCAGCTTACATTTTGTCTGTTCTCTTGATGATGCTCATTCATATGCATCTAGTAGTACTACACGTGACAAGGGAGGAGGGGGGAGGAGGAGTTCAGACCAGAGGAAAGACAAACTTCACAGGGTTCTCAATGCTCACCACCAGAGCAGCCTACTATGGAATGGCACTAGAGCCCAGTCAGTGTTTGAGTTACAGGGAAATATGACTTGAGGAGCAGTGTTGCCTCTATGGTAAGTGGCCACCCCTACCGACCGGACACGACAGGTTTGGGTGTGGACTGTGGAAGCACTTCATCCAATTCTTCCAGTTGCTGTTGCTGCATCAAAATAGCACGGCGTAGACAGATGTCACAGGCTACGCGGCTCCCACTGCATCCAATTCTTGCAGTTGCTGTTGCTGCATCAAAATGGCGCGTCGTAGACAGATGTCACAGGCTAGTGGCTCCTGCATGCTAGGAACACAGAGGCACACCGACCGCAGTTGTATAGGCATATTGCCATTCCAGCCCATCTACAAATAGGACATGTTGTATGTGTGTGGTGGAGTGTCGCCAGAACCACCACTTTTTCACCCAGATGCATAAATCCAAAATTGAAGCAGCCTTACCTCATCATCTTGTATCTGATATATTAATATTAAATAATAATAATAATATGTTTTCATGACTGTAATGTTTCAATCAAAAGGTCAATTCCTTGCTGTATTGTGAATGGTACAAACCCCACCACATCTGTATGTTTCAGCATAGGTTGCAGACGCATCCATTTCCCTTTCAGCACACACCTGTACCTTATCTTGTGTGTGTTCTCTCAGCGATGCATGTTTATATGCGTTTAGTAGTCCAACATGGGGGATATCCGTTAAAATTGGAATGATATTATGATACAGAGAAGATTAGCATGGCCCCTATGCAATGATGACACGCATAAATTGAGAGATGGTTAAGGAGAAAGAAAAAGAAAAGAAAGAAAGCAGGGAAAGGGAAGGGAAGGAGAGGGGAAGAGAAGGACGTGAGTGGGGGCAAGAGAGGACAGGGGAGAGAGGAACATCACTCGGTCCTCAATACTCAATGGTAGAGAGAATGCAATGACCGGCAGAAGAGGCCAGCCAGGGTTGCATTGAACAGAGAAACGAGCTGAGTATGCAATGCATATGTCAGATTGGAGAGAAAAACGAGCTGAGTACACATTGCGCATGCCCGTGGCCATCCCTACAGACTGGACAGGACTGGTTCAGGTGTGGCCTGTGGAATCAGCACATCCAATGCTCACAGTTGCTGTCACTGTGTGTTGAATTGCACTGTGCAGACATGTGATCGGCAACATGCCTCCCACATGCTTGGAGCACAGAGGCATGGTGACCGCCCTTGTATAGGTACTACCGTTCCACCCCGTCTACAAATAGGGCATGCCATGCAAGGGTGTCATAGATGAGTATAATGTTGACTGCAATCATAGGTATGAAAACAAAAACTTGCATGGGCCATACCCTCATAATGCTCACGACACAAAGAATGCTCCTCACATGCTAGTTGAAGATAAGCAGGTCATCAAAGTATGGCATTGAGCACGTTTCTGGGGATTCCGCGGCCGAAATATACTGTCTGTGGACAGGCAATGGCGGAGCTGGACCCAAAATAAGACGTAATGTTGCCAGATCTGGTCTGCCACTGCTCGCCTGGGAGGCAATTACGTCTGAATGCAGCATACTGTAGGTGGTTCATGCGAGAGTCTGTTTTCCATTCGGGTTGATGGGTCTGTTCCTCATCCTGCGAGGACAGAGAAAGTTCAATTAACGGTGCAGCTCGAGGAAGCCCGGTATTGCATGTGAAACATAAACGGAGAGGATGTGTGGATGATGGGATCGATGGACAGCCCACGCATACTTTCCATGACCTCTTCCTGGAAACATTCGTGACACATGGTACACTGCTGGCATGCCAGCAGGAAAGCAGACTCGCACTTGCAGAGTTTGCAGTTCTTCAACCACAACATGTGAAGGCCATAGGGGGCAATGAATGCAAGACAAAGATGGGTCACAGTTCTCATGGGGGAGGCTGGCAGTGGCCATCCCTTCATGGTGATCCGAGCAGAGATTTTGTTGCACACATGCTAACCGGGCTGTGCCTGTATGTTCACACCATGGCAGGTCACAGTGACGGTCCTCTGACGGAGCCCCATCACCATCAGTGCCAGAGTCCATCCGACCAGCACAGACAAATGCCGCAACTCGGCCAGGTGGAGAGGAGGGGGAAGAGTTGGCCAATGTGGGCCCCAGAGGCAGACATAGCTTCAATCCTCGAAGGTGCAACCATGCAACCGCATTCCGTTCCCGTTTAATGAGCCAGACCAAGTGGGACCCCACTGCCGGGAGATAGGAAGGGATAATATGACCAGCGAGTGCACGCTGCTGTCATTATCCCACAGGGTACACAACTGTCCCCAAAGTTATTCACACTTAAGGGCTCCATAACTGTGTGGTTGAGAGAACTGTTGTTTTCACCAGCAAACACCTACTCCTGAACTTAATATGTTCCCCCATGTTCATCTCAAACATTTATGCACAGCCTCAGGGGCATACACTTTTTCGCATTGTCTCAAGGGGATCCTCAAAGGTCGAACTTCGTGGCTCTGTGTATGCCACAACTTCATCGATTTTCTCCCTCCCACCAGACAGGTTAGCTCAAGCATCTATTCTAGGGAGATGCATGCTCTTATCCTGCCCAAAGCAAGGAATCCCCCTGGCCAAACCCTGCTGCTTCATAAATATGCCATACTCAGTGTTACAGTATCAATTTCCCATGACATGTTGTAGACATCTGGAAGCGACACCACTGCTGGCATCTTTTCTCAGAACCCAGTTCAGAAAGCCATTCGACGGGAAGCAGTGCTGCCCAAGGACATAGGTAAGGTATGTTCCCAACTTTCGTATCCAAAGCAGAATTACCAACCAAACTACAGGAGCTCCTTCGATGTGCCTTATCACACAGTCTATGCTTCGGAGGATGAAGACACTATCATGGGAAAGGACAAAAGCAAACAAAAGTGCATCTTACCCACGAGCGGCTGGCCTGGAATCCCAGTAGGATGCTCTTTGCCAGATCCTTGATGATGAAGCCTGCAATATACCAACGAGAAGCAAAGAGACAAGAGGAGGAAAAGTATCTCTGCACAAAGTAAGGGACCAAACTTTGGGCTTTTTACAATATAGTGATCCAGAATCCCAGCCAGTCGCAACTACGACGATGAGGGTCTCGAAGCACAAGAGCGCACAACGGGCTAGACAACCCTCTGATTCGATAAAAGAGCTTCAACCACCAGTCCAACGACTCACTACTGTTCACTGGAACTCATCGATTAGTACCAAATTATCAACCCTGGGCATTTCGGACCAGTGGCCGTAGTATGAGGGCGGGGGAGGGCTTAAATTTCTTAAAAAGAGCACTTGCAAAGGAAAAAATCCTCGGGTGAGCCATGCATGTGTTTTCACATGCTCGGACGCTGAAACGAAAAGGCCACGGGAGGGGAATAAAAGACAACGTTACAAAAACGCCAGAAAAGAGAGAAAAGGACCTCCAGAGACGAGGCAAGCCAGGCGAGAATGCTAGGTGGGCAGTTGTTAGCCACACACAAACGACTTATGGGATTGTGGATGCATCCAGTTGCTTTCCTGGCCAGGTACATTAACGTCGCTTCTCTTGTGTCCACGTAGTAGCCAACAGATTGCCAGCATGCCCCACGAAAGAAGAAACAGCATTCACTTTTTTTTTCTCACTGCTCTCTCTCTCTCTCTCTCAAAACACACACACACACACACATACACATCCTGCTCAGACTGTCAGGGTTCAACCTTACGTTCAGTGGGTGAACATCCGACAAACAGTCTGGCACAGTCATGTCCTTTTTGTGTACTTGTGTATAGTGAATGTAACAACAGACGCATCAGTTGTGTCCAAACATAGACTTGCGTGGACCACACCGGCATGGTGCTCAGAGCAGAGCATGCCATCCAAAGTCATGGCAAAGTGGTAACGAACACAGTTTTTGAGGCTCAAGTCTGCATCAGGGAAGGCGCTGATGGGAGCAGATAAAAAGAATCTTTCAGGAGCTGTGGTATCTTATCCACCACTCCCCACCCTGCGGGTGACAGTTTGTCAGCACTCTGCACCAGATGTGATTCGCGGGCATAATCATATGTTATACATGTGGCCGTTCAGGACCCAACTCAGGCAGCCGTATTGGCGGCAGTGTCAAGCAGATGACTTAATCCACATCAGGCAGATGCTTCTGCATGGCAAGCCACACCTTCCCACGAACGCTAGGTACAGCACTTTTTACCTTCATCGCAGAATGATAAGATCATTCATGTCCATGAGCTATGTGATGGCGGCGAAGGACATTTCAGTCTCCGAAGGGGACTTGTAGCTGTGAAGTCTCCAATGAATAGTCAAAGGCAGGTCACTGTCGCATCACGGAGGTGGATGGGGGGTTGTAGCAGAATCTTGAAAGCACCGAATAGGTGAGAGTGTATCAGAAGTTGCATTTGTGTCTGCGGGAAGAGGGTGCACCTGCAGGAGGCTCACTGTCACCCGGGTGAAGAGACAGGAGTGTAGCCACACTCGGCTGGTTCTGTTGACGAGGTGGACATGAGATCAGCAAATGCTGCACAAGTCGCAGCTCGCCCAGTCTCGTGCACTCACAAGCCAGCACTGGCATAGAAACGTCATCGCAAAGTGGACATCAAAACTTTATATTTGCTGTTTCTGCCCAACACAGCGGCCTTCCTTTGTATTGAGAAGGTTTCTGACTGCAAGTGGCGGTGAAATTGATATGTTCTTCATGCAAAAATGAGATTGGTATTGGGGTGGTGGTGGAGGGGAGCGAAAACACACTCAACCCAGGCCAGCATTCAACACCAAGACTGCATGGGTGCGTGTGGGTTGGCAAAATATCACCAGTTAAAAAGCCTCCTCCACCAGTCACAGAGTAGCAAGTCATCGAAAAAATGGAGTGCAAGGTCCTCTGCGTCTGCGTGGTTGAGCAAGACATGCCAACACATCCATCCACTGCATGAAGAAGTTAGCACGACTAGACTCGCCGGCCTCCAAAAGACAGTTTGCAAACCAGCAACCACAGCTTACCAGTGTGAAAGCACAACTCCCTGATCTAACGACCACCCAAAGTACCCCTCCGCTCATCACCTGGGAAGGCTACTGCTGCCTCTACTGACCCCCCTTCGAGTTCTGCAGCACATGCCACTGTGTCGTGAAAAACTACCGCTAAGGACAGTGACAGCTCCACCCATAGAGTTCAATGCAAGCATAATGTGGTTGCCTGGCACTAGTTCTTCTCAATTAACGGTGCTCCGCCGCCAAGTACATCGGGATGATAGCATCCCCCTTGGGACCACTGGTGGAGGCCTGGTTGTAAGCAGTTGGTCAGCAGGAGGGCGTATGGCACATAACAGTTCAAGGAATGGACGGTGAAGACTACCTACCAATCCCTCTTTGCCAAGATGAACGTGGACCAAAAGGACAGTAGTGACATCGCTGTTTTAGGGGCAAAACTGTGGCATGGTAGCATGGAAAACCTATTCCCCAAGATGACCAAACGGTGTGCCACCTCAGCCCTGAAATAACAGTAAATCATTGAACAAGCCTGGCAGCCTTGATTGGAGGGGAGCCATTTGAGCATTCTCCTGAACCGCAAGAGCAAGCTCTCGCTGACTCCAGGATTGAATTTCCATGCCTTGACTATGCCGTTGCACTGGCCTCTGCAACGTGCACGAACGAACAAACACGCCCACGACTCTCCACCACGGGGGGCACCGTGATACGATTCACGGATCTGCCCTTCTTCTTGTGCGCCCCCTTCATCCTAAATGACTCTCCACCTCAGGATGCAGTGTGATACGAGTCACAGTGCTGCCCTTCTTCTTGTGCGCCCCCTTCGTCCTACACGCGGGTATGCTCCCTCACATGCGCTGCCTTGCTCACCTTCCTTAGGCATCTTTGCTTCTGTGGCGCAGTCTCTTTCTCCATGCCGCCAATCTTCCTCCACTGTGCGCACCAGTAAGTACAACAAGAGGTTCACTTTGATACCACTACAAGGATCTCGATTTCACACCTGCTCAATTGCACTCAGCATGCATAAACCAAACTCAAGAAACCGGCAAGATTCATTCAACACAAAAGCAACCCTCCCCTCCTCAAACCAAAAACCCAAAGTGCGCAGGACGGGCCCACCATCCGTTTCTTCAAGAACTCAGCTGATGGGCCACTGCCGACCGGCCAGTAGTCAATATCGGCCGTCAGCTGATACACAACCCTCACTAACAGGGAATTTGATTGCCTGTGCATACCTGGTTACATATCCGTACAGACCAAGTTGATGGCCGAATGTCATGATCATAGTGCTCACTTCAGATTTTTCAATACTGATGGAAGTCTTTTCCAACATGTGCTATTGGGTTGGCATGCGAGAGTCCATTCACAAGCTGTGAATTCATTCACGGGAATAGAATCCGCGGACAGAAACCCCCTCGCCTACTAAAACCTTTGTCTATTACTACCAGCTCCGATCACTGATATGAGGAATGCCAGTAGGGAGAAGTTTTTGCAGGTCATGGTGTGTATTGACCAGTTTTCCAATTTTTTTGAACCGAGTCCCCTCCAGCCGGAGGCCAAGACCAAGCTTACAACCTGAGGAGAAGTGACACTCGTTTCCGCAGTCACTAGTGGAAAGTCTTCCTGACTAAGCTCTGGAATTCCCATTTGCCCGTAACCAGGTTGAAATAGTATTTGGAAAATAACATTCAGGACGAGGAGATGAATCAGACATTAACACAGCTGTTGAGAGCTATAATTGCCCCCGATCAGAACAGTTGGGATGAAGACCTGTCGAAGGTGGTTCGCCTTTATAACAACTCCATTCATTCAGCCACTGTTTCTTGGTTTTGTGTGTGCACTCTTTTACAATTCATCCTGACTGTGGAAACGCAACGCAATGTACTTAGAAAGGAGAGGGAGAAAAGCTCCATAATTCAACGTTGATGGATGTCCTGACGGACCTACATCCTTTCCTTCTCGAGATGGAGTTCGATACGTGCCCAGTGCTCAAGAGCTCACTATGTAGTGATACTCGACAACTACTTTTATGTGTACAAGTGCACGCTCGCCGCAGGCTACACATGCTCCTCCTCCTGACCACGACCCCAACCAAAAGAAAACACACACCCTTGGGGCGGCCACATAGTACTATGTGCGCTGGGCCGTATCATGTGGCATGGGTGATACTATGTGGGCTGGGAAGCATCATGTCCACTGGGCGGCACCTTGTGGAGCGGTCATACCATGTGAGCCGCATGGTACTAACTCCGCGCGCACACACACATCGCCCAAGAAAAATAAAAAAAACATGCACACACTCAGGCACAACTTCGGCCTTGGCAAGGCTATCGCAGTATTATATCGCCTGCATGATGCCACGTGGGTTGGATGGTACCGTTGGACTGGGTGGCACAATGTGGGGCAGGTCATACTGTGTGGACTAACACACACATACAGCCCCCCAAGAAGGGAAAAGAATGCAAACATGGTCACGAAAAAAAGAAAACAACAACACAAGGCCAATTTGGCCCTTCCCCTGGCCAGGTGGTACTAGGCGGGCTGAGCGGTATTATGTGGCCCAGTTGATACTGTGTAGGTTGAGTCGTTTCACATGGGGCAGGTCATACTATGTGGACAAGGTGGTACTATGCAGGACATGGGTTGCATGGTACCAAAAAAACAAAAAAAGGAAGGACAAAAAAAAAAAAAAACAGTCCATGTGGTACACCCATGAACCATTGATAATTAGACCTGCACTCAAATCCCGCAGGGGGAACCAAGGAAACAACCGCTAGATCGTGATTAGAGTGACAGACTTCATTGCAAACACGTATGACTCTCCCGACCGCAGTGCTATGTAGCTGTATTCTAACATTCCAATCGTTTGAATCCCTGTGGGTCAAAATCCTGACGCCAAACAGGCACGACTTCTCTCCTTCCATCGGGCCTCCTGTGAACATCCTGACTGCAAACGGGCATGGCTTCTTTCCTTCCATCCTGACTGCAAACAGGCACAACTTCTGTCCTTCCAACAAACAGGCACGACTTCTTTCCTTCCAACAGGCCTCTTGCGAACATCTTGACTGCAAACAGGCACAACTTCTTTCCTTCCAATGGACCTCTCGTGAACATCCTCACTGCAAACAGGCCTCGGCTTCTTCCCTTTGAATGGCCCTCCTGTGCACATCCTGACTGCAAACAGGCACAACTTCTTTCCTTCCAACGGACCTCCTGCGAACATGCTGACTACAAACAGGCACAACTTATTTCCTTCCAACAGGCCTGCTGTCAACATCCTGTCTGCAAACAGGCACGACTTCTTTCCTTCCAGCAGGCCTCCTGTGAACATACTGACTGCAAACAGGTACGACTTCTATCCTTCCAATGCGCCTTCTGGCAAGCTGTATCTGAACATTCACCATAGCGGAGGCTCCACTCCGCCTACCAGCAGCACGTTCGGTCAGCGCTGTGAAGCTGTATTAGAACATACACACCAGAAAAATCTGTGTTAAACTCCGGGCCGCCCGGTGGCCCAGCCTCCGTCCGCCAGGGGTCCCAGGCGGGCCCAGCGCATTCTTGCGCGGGGGGGCAGGGAGGCCTTTTTCGATGTTTTTTCGCGCTTGGGAGCCTCCCTGCCCCCCCGAGCAAATTCTTCCGCCGACTGCACATTCATTCAGGCGGCCTTCGAATTCGAACGTGGAGTTCGTGGTGCCCGTCGAAGTGGTCTCATCGCTGCCCGCCAAAAAGGTTCCCATCGCTGCTCGCCTTCACCGAGGTGCCCGTCGTCGATGCCCATCGTCACTGCCCGTCGCCGCTGCCCGTCGTCACTGGCCGTCGTCGTCGATACTGTACCTTTGCGCGAAGTGCCACGTGTCAGGCTCTCTCTCTCTCTCTCTCTCTCTCTCTCTCTCTCTCTCTCTCTCTCTCTCTCTCTCTCTCCCCCGCTAAGCTGTAGGCAGAGAGAGAGAAGAGGACAACAAACGAGGGGCTGTGACAAACTGTTTCGTCAGAGTTATATATATATATCGTCATATATATATCGTCAAATAGAACTGCCCGGTAAACCGTAGGCAGAGAGGGAGAAGAGGACAACAAACGAGGGGCTGTGACAAACTGTTTCGTCGGAGTTTCACCAACTCATCAGGAGG